ACATTCTTAAAACCATAGTCAGATATCTCAGCTCAGGATACTAGAAAACAACTAATTATTATAACCTTTGTCCATGAATTGCAAATATGAGATAATTTTAGAAAAAGAAATTGAACCCTTTATCATTATTTTAAATCGTTCCTAAATTGATACGCCAGACCTTTTTGGCAGCTGTCACTCTGAAAACTCTATTCACACGTAAATTTTAATTGGATCAAATTCAGACTATAGATTTTTTTTTAAAGAATATTTTAAATGTTTTCAAATAACTAGTTACTTGGCAGAAGTTAACAAGTATAGCAATCTGTGTTTGTCTTTGCATGTGTGCATATGTGTGCATGCATTTGTGTAATGTACTTGCCCCTGAAGCAGTGTATTTTTTTTTTTATTAACTCACACAATTCTTTCTTTTTTCATTGACAATGGATATAAATAATTCAGGTTTTCAAGCATATCCCATTTTGCTTTTGTGATCCTGGGAATGAGCAAAGAAATTTTTAAAGTTTACTAATCTGAGAAATGTTTTTATTTGGGATATATGGTGCTAGTTGAATAAAGGCATTTATTTAATGATGGGTCACCAAGAAATGAAGTGACTAGTTGAAAGTCACACTAAAAATGGTAATGTGTAGTTTAAATGCTACTTTTTAAAGAAAGAATATTATACTATCTAGACATAAGATACAATTTTAGAGAGGATTAAATATATATCTTAAGGAGTATGTTCCCAACTAAAAAATTCTGGTCATTTTTAACCCAAAATTTTTTTTCCTCTAATATTTCAAATCTTCAAAATGGACACAAATCTTAATAGAAATATATTTATATTCTCTCTCTCCCCTATCTCCCCTCCCTCCTTCTCTTGGAACATGTATACACACTCACAGACACACACATATATGCACACATGAATATACTTTATGAGAATATACAAAGTATAATTTCAGTGATAACATTTTAACATAATACAGTAGTAGTTACCCATCAAAATAAAGTCTATTTTCTACAGCTTTATATTGTCAACATGTAAATTGAACTCGATACTGATCCTGCTTCACTTAGAATCCTCTTTGAACATATTATGCTTTTTAGCTCTCAGAAATTCATTCAGTGTACTTCAAAATGCCAACTTCTAAAGTGTAGAAAGATGTTAATAACTCCTTAAGTCAATAGTTTGAGCCTGACTTAATAAATTCAATAAATATAAACTGTTAGAAATGGTCTATACCACTCACTGCACAGCAGTGAAAGAAATAATAAAAGCCCCAAATAACAACCAATGTATTTATATTTTACTTGACTCTGAAAAATATAACCAAAATATCAAGTATTTGGAAAATATATACCTAATGTCACCTATACTCCCATTTTCCTAATGGCAGTACTTTTAGCTTTATGGAGTCATTAAACTTTTTATTTCAATCACTTAACTTTTAAAAACTTTGGATGGAGGATCTCTTTAAAGACAACTTTCATTCATTTTTACTAATTTCATTATTTTTAATTCAAAATATAAACTTAAAATGTTCTCTCGTCCTATATTCACAATGACTAATTTTATAGGTACTTGTTAATTTCAGCTGATAAACATATCCTAGAAGAACCAGAGAGTCAAAATTGTGTTCTCTACCATCTTTATGTAAAATTTTGGTATGCAGAATGAAGTAACTTCACAATCCTGTAATATTTTTAATGAGATAAAGCTATGCAAATTTCACAAACTACTTTCAAAAGTACATGTTAGCAATTCTTTTTCTTTTAATGACATGTTTCAAAGGTTTAGGCAAAGCTATATCCTTTTGGCTTTAAGTTCTCTTTTCTGAGAACATATTGAGAACAGAAAAATTAAATGATTCAGTCCAACCACACACACCGATCCACTCAAAGTATGATGATTGAGATGTATGTATCTATTAGAGTTGTGCCATATATCATATTAATTATTCATAACTATCTACTCTATTCCTCTTTTATAGATATAAGAGATTTTTACTGCCTAAGTTATTATAATATTCTCCTCCAATTTATTATGGAGAATGTGTGTGCACAAGGAATTTTCAAAATTAAATCTTGCAAAGAATAGAGCCAAACTTACTTTGCAGACTGCATGCTATATTTGTGTGGTAGCTCACAGACATCATTCTAATCATAAATCTTAATATTTTTATTTTCTTCTTAAAAGAAAGGGACAAAATGAATATTTTAACTATTTAGACCATGATAAGTAAAATATAACATTAGTGTATAGGTGGAATTTTCAATTTAATGCAATTTTTTTCAAGGCACTATCTTAGAAAGTTAGCATTTGGTGCTAAGTTTTCTAGTTAAACATTTATGGCTTTTTGGGGTACAGTTTGACATTTTGAATAAGAAAAAATTACCTCACAAAATTGTTTTATAAATAATTAATGATTCTCTATTTTCTAAGCCATTGATAGGTAAGGCTTATGAAAACACCACCAGACTAAAGTTTAGCATACTGCTATTGTCTTAAAAAAAAAATCACAATCTTGGGCAAATCATTCTTCTCTTTTGGCTTCATTATGTGGAGAAGTTTTCTCAACAGGGAAAATTTTACTATGGGGTCACAAAAATGTAAGAGAAAATTATGGTTTTCATAACAATTTCTAAGAATTTCCTTTTCCTCATGTTATATCCACCTATTACTATAATGCACTGAACATCCTGTCAGATGGGGGAGTGGTGGCTACAGTGTTTGTTTTTGTGTTTGTGTTTCAAAGCAAGTTAATAGTCATTTCAATGTAGCTTTACTGGACCCCTCACACTGGAAAGTGTAGTTTCTGTCTTAAATGTACAGCCTACTATTTCCCCTTTTCAGGGCATGGAGAGTTTGATCTACTTCAGCAGGGCTGCCATTGTGACTCAACTGTTTCATTATAACACTTCATTAAACTTCTCAGCCCTCAATGTCTTAACACCATGTTCATCCGCAACAATGGCGCTGCAATTTCATGACCATAAACTCCACTCTATATAGCATATAGTATCAAATTGTGTTTCTAAACACTTATGTTTTCATGAAATAAAACAGGTGTTTATTTTGTTCCTATTATGGTAATGCCTAGGTTTTTTGAAGAAATAATCTCTGGAATTTACGATGTCCAAAACAGAAAAGTTTTGGAACTACTGTTCTCAATTTTAGTACTTTAAGAATCTTTCTTCTTTTTGGTTAGAACCCATTCTACTACAAAAGTAAAGTGAAAATGAATGAGTTGACATGGAGTTTTCTTTTTAAATCACTAGTCTTTTAAAAGGATTTCAGACTATAAAGAGAATCTAAAATAAAGCAGAAAGAACTTGATTTACTAATCATATATATTGCATAAATGTCAGCCTGCAATAAAAACATCTTTGTAAAGACTTCTATATAAAATCTTTTATTCTCTTTAATGTTTAAGGGCAATAGCGTATAAAGGTTTCTTTTAGGGATTTTTTATCTGAGATTAGTTTTCTCATTTTCAGTCATGGGCTAAAAAGGAGAAAATGAACACTGAAGAATAGCTCGATATTGCAAATTATACTGAGTTGAAGATTATTTCAAACTCAGTGACTTGTCTGAAAACATTTTCATTAGCATTTGCATTTAGACTATGGAAAGATTTGGGTATATATTATCAAAGACAAATTATATTTTTGCAACTGTTATAACTAGTATTAAAAAAGAGTAAAGTCTTTAAATACTCGTTAAAATTTTGTTTTGAAAAAGTAATCATCTAAAATTGAACAACTAAGACAACATAGTGCCAGAACTTAGCTTCTCTTCACTAGTTTATTCCAGCAGCGAGGCCCTGGAAGTCACAATCTCCCCTTTTTGATCAACTTTACCAAGAAAAGAATAATTTGCATCCTGTATAACTTACTGACAAGTTGAAATCTGTGACTATTTTTCTATTCATAAATTTATTCATATAGGCGATCTTTAAATTGAATAATCAGAAACTGGGTCCAAACATTTTTTCATGAAAATGAAAATAGCATATCATGAAATGCCTTCATTTGAGGCTAATGTCACAGAAAAGCTAATACCCAGAACTCAAATCTCTCTCTTTTTATTTATATACATTTGCATCACTTAGTTTTGGATAAGTTTAACAAGGATAAACATCATTTCTTTTGAGGATGACAGCAACACTGACAAACAGTCCCTGTCTTGCCTGTCATTATATTATTGCTAAATCATCCACAACATCATGACCTGATTTTAGTTTCCAGGGACATAGCCAAAAAAAAGGAAATTTAAGTTTCATTCTGATTACATACAAATAGCCAGCACTTAAGAAAACCTTTGAAAAGTGATCAGTGTCCAGTAATTTTTAAAAAATGAACAAGAAGAAGGAAAAAAAGAAAAGAAGAAGAAAGGAAAGAAGACAGACATGTTTAAAAGCCTAATACAATTACACAGCAGTCCTCTTTAACATTCTCTATGCTGGCATAATAACTACATGGTAAGTAACATGAAAACAGTTACCCTTGTGAGATCCCTGTTGCATGCTTTAATTAAAACTAAAAATTTACAACAAAATCAACCATTGGGTAAATTGCTCTTTGGTTTAAATCTTTGTCACCTCCTGGAATTTTGGTAAAATCACTTTGTTTTTATATTAAGCTAGTCCCTCTTTCTTTACTCCATTACAAACAACAAGAACCAGACATAAATTTTAGAATGAGTTTTGTTCACGTGTATGTGTGTTAAGTCCAACCCCTGTATACAAACTTAAAAAAAAAAATAGGTGTTGTAACATAGTGCTTTATTCCAACTCAATCTCATCCTTGAATGAACTTCCTTCAAATTTCAACCATAAAAAAAAAAAAGTAGTCAATTTCCTGGTGGTTGTAATTTAATTAAGTAACCTTTCACACTGAGCAAAACCCAAAAGCAAAAGGGTCATTAATCTTTCTAGTGATTAGAGACACCTATAGCGCTTCAAACATTTACCTCTCCTTCCCCGCAGTAGAAATGCTTTTAGGAGGATCATGGTTCATACCTCGCATTCCCTGGAGCCAGAGATGGTATATGTGCAGGGGCCAGATCCATTAACGGATATATCCATGGTCTCAGAGTTTGTAGGCTTGTAGTCCACGTAATACTCCTGTAAAGGGGAATTCATTTGTCTTTCAGACTCTCTGGTCTTTTTCCGCCGTCTCTTCATAATAGAGTGCTGCTGAAGTTGCTTCATGCTGGCTGGGTAGCGTTTCCAAGATACATAGATAACCAAGAGGATCATGGCCACCGAGAGGAAGAGAGCCACGCTCCCTGCAATAATTTTATGAAACGAAACATGCTCATACTCTTGTTCTGTGCCAGGAATCTGAAACCCTGGGGAGGGGCTTGGTGTTTCAGGGGTGGGTTGGGTGGGGTCAGATTTAGAGACTGTAGGTTTAGGAATGATCAGAGGCTTCTGGGGAGTTTGGGGCACCAGGTAGGATTTTTCTGTGTTGACCACCTGGACTTCAGAGCAGATATTATATGTCTCCACTGCATCACTAACCTTTTCACCCTGGATATGCTTAGGTCCTGCACATATCATGGTGCTTTCCTTATTTCCTTTGAAATTCTTAAGCCAATAAAACAGAGGACAAATACTCCGACTGCATTCCCACATATTTCCAGACAAAGTAATGGATATTAATGATATCCACGCATTGACAGTTTCCTGTGAGATGTTAGTAAGCTTGTTGGAATCCAAATTCAATTTTTGCAAATTGGGCAGACATTTAAATGTGCCCGGCTCGATTCCTTGGATGTCATTCCCTGATAAATCCAAGTTGTGTAAGGAACTCCAAGTCCATGTCAAGCCTTGGCTAATGGAGCGAATCCTGTTCCACTGCAAGTAAATTGAGCGGAGATTGAAGAGACGTGGAAAATGCGCAAAATTGATCTTGGAAAACTGATTGTGCTCCAAGTGGAGTTCCTTTAACTTCAAGAGGCCAGCAAAAGCATTTCGGGACAAGCTTCGAAGACGGTTGTAACCCAGATCCAGGAAGTCAAGATTTCGACAGTCTTGAAAAACTCTTATTGGCACAGTCTTTAATGAATTGGATCTCAAGTGCAAAATGATGAGTTTCCGAAGACCTTTAAATTGTTCCGACTGCAATGTCTGAAGTTTATTGTAGGAGAGGTCCAGGTTGCGGAGATTGGGAACTGGATGAAAGGTTTTATTGTGCAGATAGGTAATTTTGTTGGAGCTTAGAATTAATTCTTTCAGTCTACGGATGCCTTGAAATGCATCTTCATCCACTGAGCTAATGTAATTATGGTCAAGATAAAGCCATATAAGCTGGTTAAGGCCGGCAAACTGATTGGATTTGAGTTTCTGAATGCTGTTGAATCGTAATGATAAGCCTTGTGATCCTCCAGAAATGTTCTCTGGGATATCTGCGAAAGCATGAGACTCACAATACACAATTTTGCCATCACATCTGCAGTTCTTTGGGCAAGCTCTCTGAGCCCCTGATAGCATAACAAGCAGCAGTGTAGAAAGTAGCACTAGCACCACGCGCATGCCTCTCAGATGCGTAATTAAACGGAAACCTACAATGTTAAAAAGACAAATGCATATTGTAAAGCTATTGATACAAACCACCACTGGTTTCCCAATATCAGGAACATTTCATCTAGCGTTGTAATGGAACGGCTGATTTAAGAACAACGTGTTTAACGTTTAAAGCCTTCTTGTCTTCTGTGCTGTAGGTTTTCTATTTAGGTTTCATTCTTTCTTTGATTTTCAAATCGCCAGTGTCTGAGAACCAAGAAAAGCTTCCCCGAGTTTCCGGAGTTCATGTAAACATCAGCACTGCAAAGCACATAGCCTGTCTTAGCACTTAATGCCGACATTTTAATAACAATAGTATTTGGCTAAATCACTCAGTTGAACACCAGTACCAAAAGCAGGAGTACTAAGTCTTCTGGTAATGGCAGAAATGTGACTTTGGAAACCCCCATACTTGTTCATCTTTCCTAGTTGAGCACACAGGCTGTGATTGGCAAAGGAGCTTCAGTCAGCTGTCAAGGTAACTCAAGTTTGCCCTGCCTGAAATTGTATCCTTATTGCATAATAGAAAAACAATGTATGAGCTCTGAAAAAAAATGACATTGGAGCTAGCATGGGCAGCCAATTAAGCATGGTATGAAGACAAATTACAGTCAAGGTATTCTCAGCACTCAGGAGGAGCTGCCTTCTGTGGCTCCCTTGCCCAGGCATATACATAGATCAGACAGAGATCGAGAACCCTGACGACTGGTAACACGAAACGCTCCGAAGTTAAGGTCCTCAGATTCTTATTAAATTTTCCCATAAGATGCAAAATAACCTTGTGTAGTATTAATTTTGCTGTTATTTTTTAACATAGATGCTTTTGCAACTGTAGGGTATAAACAAGTAGAGAAACGCAAACTAGCATTCCCCTCCCCCCATCCCAACCTGCTCAAATTTCTCACTGACTTTTCTTTCCCCTACCTTCATTAACTTCTGAAAACCTGCAAAGTTGCAGTCTATTGGCACTTATCCTGCATTTCCAAGTCATGGTATCTTAAGGGACCTCTTTCCTCTGTCAGAAGACTTATTAGTTCTTAGTGGTAGGAAAAAAAAAAACAAACTACGGTGTCCTGCGGTTTCTTTATTCTCTTAAATATTCATATTTTTAACTGAGAGGTGATCAGCCAAACCTCTAATAAAAAAAATAAAATAAAATAAAAACTCCTTTTACTCAACCAGTTAAGTCTTTTCTTTTTTTCTTTCTTTTTCTTTTTCTTTTTTTTTCTATTTGAAACCCGATCTTGCTCTGTCCTCTTGCCAGCTACAGACTCATTGAAATACATTCCGGCTCTCCCAGACAGGAGAAGGGGGGTGGGGGAAGCCAGTCACACTTGAAAAAATAAGACGGGCAAATGACTGCTGAAAATTCGGAAGCTGTGTTCAGGATACAGCTTCTAAGATAAAACAAGCCCTTGTGCGACCTCTGATAAAGTAACGACCCCACCCCTCCTCAAACGCTGTAAAGTGTTAACAATCTTCCTGACAGCGACCTGAAATACACGCATGGTTAATGTTATCAAGAAATAGAAGCAAACACGATATTTATCTCATGCCCAATTCCCAAGCTGTGGATACGCATACGGAAGAGACAGTCTTAAAGATATTTCTCTGGAGTCTAAGTCCATGTTATGCATTTACGAATTAAAAAAAAAAAAAAACCTACGAAAAAGAAAATGATCTAAAAATATAATAGCAACTATAGTGAGTCAACTGGCAAACTCAAAGGCTGCTGCTTTTTGCCTGTTTCCCCGTCTTTTATCAGCTAAAGCCACGACTGAGGAAGGGAAGCCAAGAGGATCAGCTTTGCTAAGAAGGAAACAACAAAAGTTCACTTACCCATCCTTTGTCATCCAAAAACGGTTCCCCCCTCTCTCAGCTTTCTTCTTATTTGGTCGCTCGCGCTGAAACCACCACCACCTTCATGACACAGTGCGGCTGTCATTCACACCATTCTGATCTCGTATGTGAGCTAGTAGCCCCATGCAAACTTCCCCGGAGAGGACAGGGGAAAAATATATATACATACATATATGAAAAAAAAAAATCAGCATGGGGTGGGATGGGGGGCAGGGAGAAGGAAGCCCTGGGGGAGAGGGAGGGCTTCTAGGCTCTGAGGATCATTGTGTAATTCACCAGAGACCCATCAGCAGTAATTGGCAATCAGTGCAAAAGAGCTACAGCCCCATCTTGAAGGTAACCAACTTCTCTATAAAAAGAGGAAAAAGAAGAAGAAAATCTTCAGAATACCTGGCATTCCTTATTGTGCTGGCTTTTGCCATTCCCAGATAAAGCAATTCATCCTCTGGATTTCAGTTCCTGAAGCAAGTAGGCCTCCTGTGCTGTATGAGACCCCAGTTTAAAAGCTATGCAGGCTAGGTTTATCCATTTAGTTAGCTGGTCAGGTTTAAAGTGTGTTGTAGCTGTGCTGAGAGGCAGCCCTTGTCTAATTCAGAAGGCTTTCCAGAGACTGATGATGCTCAGAGCTTGTTGGTGCTAATGCTTGAGTTTGTGATACACTGAGTGCCCTCCGCTGGAGAAAACAGATTGCACATTAAAGACGGGAACAAGTGAGCCTGTCAGTGGTGTGCAGCCTTCCCTCTCTCAGGAAGGGAAATTAAAGGCACAGGATCACTTTTTTTCTCTCCAACAATATATTTTATGAAAGGTCATGCTGAAGAGTACCATTCTGTGATATCAATATTAAGTAAAACACTGCTTCTTTAAATATTATGCAATTAGTAATTTTTAAAAGTTGCCTTGACCTGATTTATTTATTTATTTTTGCAGCACTTGCACATGACACAGGAAATTTATCTTTTTTTCAACAACAGAAATCATTTGAATTGTATTTTTGTTGCTGTTAGTTTGTTTTATTCATTTATATTTTTCAAACAAGCCATAGAGAGAAGCAATCTTATTCAAGGGAAAAATGTATAATTAGATAACTTTTAAAGATGATTACATTGACAAATCTTAGGTCTAATTTTTAAATTCCTAACTTATGAAAATAAAATTAATTCTGAAATTTTGTGTATTATATTGAATATTCCAGATCATTACTTTCAAAAAGTGTATATTTTTAGTCTTAAAAGAGTTATTTTGAGTACTATATTACCAAATATGCTTTCATAATGTGCATATCTAGGAAAAAATACCCCTGTATGTTCTACATCATTGTTGTATTTCTCAAAATGTGCATAATATCCTCAAAATTAGGAAGGATGAAATGATGAAATACCTGAGATATGTATTTTTTTAAAATACACTTTTTCTGAAACTGTACTGAACTTTGAAAAAAATAATATAACATTGCACTTCCATTTTGTTTCTCCTCTTTGTTTATTTCATAATCTTCTAGCAAATAATTTTTGGAAAAATCTGGAAGAATGAACAAATGTAATACAGAGAAAGACTGTTGGATAAGTTTGCTAACCTAATTTAGCAAGTGTGAGAAGTTTAAATGGATTTAACAAAAGCAACTAGAATTATTGTGAATCACTGAAAATGAATATTTTTCTCTTGGTTTTAGACAACCTGCCAAAATATTTCTATGTTAGCGGGTGCTTATCATATGAGTAACGAATAGAATTTGACCCAGATTTAATAGTAGGGAGTGACAGGCAATTGTCCAATTACTAGGATTCTCAAGGAACAAAAAGGGATAGTATGTAACCCAAATATATTCCTTTCCCATTAACTGATACCTGAATTTCTATTTAGGAATGTTTACCTTTGGTTTAAGTATTAATACCTATTAAAATGCAAATGTACACCAAAAGAGGTGATATTATTTGGTTAATGAAAGGGATATGCCCATCTAGAAACTAAATAAAAACAAATATAATTTGTTCATAGCAGTATAGTTTACATAGAAACAAAAACCCCACTGAAATATTCAATGATAGAGGACTAATTCAGGAAAAAAATAATTATGTTCACAAAATAGAACACATGCTGCCATTAAAATTAAAATGGTTTGCCCTTGATAAGAGGAAAGGATGACCACAATGTGTAAGTTAAGGAGGGGAGGGACAGAGAACACAGATGAAAGAGAGTCTACCTCTGAAGTTATTTTTACTTGCATTGGGCCAAAATAAAATATATAAAGCAGATATTTTTGGGAGAGAGATTTTGGATGTATTTCATTTCATCTTTTATGATTTTTTGTCTATCTACATTTTCAAATTTTTAAATATGATCAATAGATGGCGCATGTATGTACCAAACACACATATGTGCATGTGTATATATTTTCCTTTGTTTAAATAAGAAATATGAGAAAAGCTTTCGATAGTGGATTGAAACATATCCCATGATGTTACCCATATTTATGGTGTAATAACCTGCAAAAATAGAAGTTTTGTTTGAAGTACTAAAAGCTAACAGATGCTGTATGACAAAGTCATCAGTAGATCCTATGCAGAATTGACAAAGAATGTTGTCACTACTCAGTCACACACATGTGCACGTGCGCACACACACACACAATCAGTTACAGGTCTTTTGAACAAACTGTGAGGACATAGAAAGTTAAAGATATTTGAGATAGAAAAAGGATGTTGTCCAAAGATTCATTTGGAAAGAGTCCTCACGTACATGCACAAACACATGCACTCACCCTTTCACTTAAGGAAGGTTTTGGAAGGAAGGTGGATGTCAGCTACTCAGGTTAACTGCAACAAAAGGGACTTCTACAGGCTAGTTGAACTTGGTATGTGTTTCCAGTAGTGAATTCAGTGCAAGAGAATGGCATCTGATTTGTTTCTGGGAAATCCAATACAAGATATGGGTTTGTCAGATCAAAGAAGAGTTAAACTTGTGTTGAGGTTGGCTTTTGGATTTTATTTGCAGAGCTTGTGGATAAAAACATGAACAACTCTTTTCCATGGAAGAAAGCAGGACTATGGAGGAGAAAGAGTTAGCTTGAAGTTGTTTTCAATCCCAGCAAGGTCCCCAACAGAATGAGTCTAAAATGGGTACACTGCCCAAACAGACCAAAAAAAAAAAAGAGAGAGAGAGAGAGAGAACCAATCAAGTTTGAAAAAGCACAAGGTAGAAGGAAAAAAAAAATGTGTCATCCACAATGTGGAAAATTGACCCATTATTTCTAAAGGAGATATAAGGAAAATATCAATATACCCATAAGAAAGAGAAATACTTTTGACATCTTCTATGCTCAGAGATCTCAAGTCTTTTTACAATAGTACCAGTTTTACAACCATGAAGTTTCCTGGAAAGGTCAGAAATTGCTGTAAGTGTGGGAGGAGGTAAGCAAGAATGAGAAAAGCTGACTATGCTTCCTGTGTTTCTGTAGACAGCAGATGGCTCACTTGCAACTGGCCCTACTACATCTGAACAGGAGGGGAAAGTTTAAACTTCATATAAAATATGAGGTATTCATATATAATATAGTAAACATAATACTTTCATTTACTGATTTCAGACATTATGAACTAAGGATAAAATAGAATTTTTTGTTTTAATCAAAGCATTCACTGATCTCACCTTGATAACTTAAAATTGACCATGGTAGAAGTATTTTACATCACAGAAATCAACAAAAGTTAAAAATTAATAATACAGATTAAATGTAAAATGTATTGCATCTGTAGTTATTTATAATAAGCACAAAAATTGAGAAATATGTTTCCAGTATTTAAAAACTATTATGTGATTGAGTAAAAAAAACTCACTCATGAAATTAACAAACAAGCAAAATTTCAATATGTAGCTATGTTATTTTACTTTTATCTTATTAATGTAAACAACATCAGATAGTATTCATGGTGTGAATAATACTCAAGAGAGTCAGTTGTTAAACATTTACCTGTACACCGTGGTACCTAGGGAGTCCATATATATCCTGCTCCAAGGGTGAACTAGTCTGAACACATAAATGCTAGTGACTATCTGATTTTATTGAATAAATCAAGTAATCAACCAATTGCTATTACTACAATCATTTTCACTTTCCACACCTTCAACACC